TGCCAACATGTGCAAGTAGAAACACCCAGCCAGGTCGTAACCACCATGTGTCGTCATGTGCTCTGAGTGCTTCGGGGGGACAGGGAAACACAAAGCAAGTGCCGCGTGGGAGGCGGACAGACGTCTGCAGGGAGCCTGTGGGGCTGCCAAGGGGGGGGCGGGGGAGGAGCAGAAGTGGTGGCGACAGATCCCTCCTGCAGCTCTGGTGCCCCCTTTTATTAAGAAGCGTAGAATGAATTTCTGTGGGTAGTAACTGGGGGGAAGTGCGGTTGCAGGATCGTGAAGGAATCATCCAGGCTGCTCCGCAGTTTGTGCTCATTTGATACTTAAATCTCTTATTGTTTCCTAATTATAAACCCAGACTCTCAGGTTAAAAAGAGGAGGTGCTTCTTGACCACGTATGTTTACTACTTGGCCCGTCTAGAAGCTGAAGGCCGAGGTCCTTCTGGCAGCCTGTGCAGAACAAAAGTAACCACTTGCCGACGGCAGTATTTTATTCTTTTTATGGCTGAGTAGTACTCCACTGTGTGTGTGTGTGTGTGTGTGTGTGTGTGTGTGTGTGTGTGTGTGTGTGTGTGTGTGTAGCATGGATAAGTGTAAAGTAATGCCATTTACTGCAACATGGATGGACCTGGAGATGATCATACTAAGTGAAGTAAGTCAGAGAAAGACAAATACCATATGATACCACTTTTATGTTAAATCTAAAAAAATGACACACATGAACTTATTTACAAACCAGAAACAGACTCAGACGTAGAAAACTTCTGTTTACCAGTGGGGAAAGGAGATGGGGAGGGATAAATTGGGGGTTCGAGACTTGCAGATACACACACTACCCATAAAACAGATGAACACCAAGGTCCTGCTGCACAGCACAGGGAACTGCATTCAGTACTGTGTAGTAGCCTATAATGAAAACGAGTATGAATAAATAAAAAGGAAGATATGTGTATATGTACAACTGAATCACTATGTCATACACCAGAATTTAACACAGTTGTAAACAGAACATACTTCAGTTTTTAAACAAGTGACCGTCTGCTGGGTAGGACCCAGGCCGACTCAGAGACGGCGGAGCGTCTCGTGGTGCCTTTGCTCTGCCCTTACTCAGGTTCTTTCTCCCAGACCGCGTGCACTGAAACATGGACGCTGGGGTTCAGGGGACAGCGGTGTTCCTCTGAAAATTCCAGGATGCCCCCGTGCATCTGCAGCTCCTCCCCATCGCTTGTTTCTCTTTTTCTTCTTCAAAAACAGGAACTTGACCTGCCTTTGATCTCCACTCCTCTTGTGACTGTGATCGCCTACTGTCACTTTATGGTGTAACTCTTACTGCTTTTAATTCAACAAAGTAAGTTTGCATTTCCAGTTTGCCCTATCCTAGGCCCGGCCATCAAGGCAAGAAGACAAAACACAAGTCCTTTTTGAAGAAATTAGGATCAAGCTGGACAGAGAAACATGCACCTAAACTAACAGAGTCAGACTGTGACCACAGATACAATGCCAGGAAGCACAGCACAGGACAGATGGATTCCAGTTAGGAGAAATCGTAGAAGGCTTCCTGGAGGTGGGGGTATGGGAGCCAGGCCTCGATGCTGTCTAGAATGCCCACCAACAACGGAGAGACTAGGGAGAAGAGGGACAGGGACTGGCTGTAGCCTCTCGGTTGATGTCTGCACCTGCAGAAGATGAAGAGCTGACGCCTGCAGCCGCCGCCATCACTCAGCCTCAGGGCTCCGACACGGGCGCAGCTGTGATGTGATGCGTTCCTGGGCTGCTGGGTCCCGGTGGCCCTGCAGTGACCAGAGGTTGGGTGTACCTAGCAGGCACACTGACGTGCGGATATTATGGGGTGCAGTCGTTCTGAGAGCTGTCAGACTTGGGGAGGCCCTGCCTGGCCTGCTGCCTTGGATTTGCGTTGCTGAGGAGCAGGGGGAGCTCCCCGGCACCTGCACCTCTCGTCCGTGATTTGCTGACCCCAGACGAGTCGCAGCTACCTGTAAGAACCCTGATAAAACAAGAAGTAGCAAGACCGAAGGGCCTGAGATTTTACGGTAAATCCCAGATGGCCCGGGATGTCTGGGAGAAAGGAGGAGAGGGATGCTCTGGGGGTCCTGGGGTGACTGTCCAGGCGGTGGAGGACAGGAAACAGCAAGAGGCAGGCGGCATGCTGATCTGGCGTTTTCAGAATGTAACTCTGGCCATGGTCACATCGTGGAGGAGAGGGAAGCTGGAGACCGCTCTAGGGACTGGGACTGTCCAGGTGACCCTGTGGAGCTGCCCTGCGGATGCAGATGCTGGCAGAGAAATTGGGAGCAAGACGGGCCAGGCAGCAATGCAGGAGCGCGTGCCCCACTCTGCTCGGTCTCAGCTGGAAACTGTCGGTGACTCGGGACCTGTCTCCAAGAGCCGTGAGGTCCTATGATTTGTCCACATGCTCACAGCCCGTCCTCACCCCCAACCCTATTCAACTTTCTAAGGACTTGAATGTTCAGAGACGGTGAGCCTCCTGCCAAGTGCACCTGCTTCCATTACCATCGCCCTAGGCCCGGGCCCGACGTGAACAAATGGCTTCCAAATGCATGCAAAAGAAACCTTGTATCTTTCTGCCTCTAAATAAGCAGTAATTGGGGAGGCATTACCCCGTGGTAGTATCACTGTAACTTCTCGGGAAAAGAGACGTTTCTATGGATTGAAGTAGTTGTTTTAAGGTCTTTCAGGGACTGGTAGATTTTAACAAGATGGACATCATTATGCGGTCAGTTCGGACCCAGACCGCTGTGCGGACGCTAGCAGTCACACGGCGACCGTTGAGGCGGATGGAAGTTAGTGAATACTTGATGATCCGTCAGTAACGAAGTCGCTTTTGGTCTCCCCGTGCCTCCTTCTGACCCCTCCCCAGCCCAGCCCCACGACCTGCGGCACCTCCCCGTTTCTCAGGATTTCACTTTTCTCTCGTGTCCTTATCCACCCTTTTTGGACAGTCCTGACACCCAGCGTTCTTCTGACTGCCCCGTGCAGCACGCGTCCCAAACACCCAGGGACGGAGAGGGTCTCTGGGACACCTGCTCTCACCAGACTAGCCCGTCACAGCGTTGTGCTTAGACAGAGTGAGTTGCGGGGGTGGGGGGGCGATGAGACACCGCCCTTCTGTGTCTGGTCAGTGTCGAGAAACAAGCCTGGATCACGGGAAGTCTGCAAGGAGGAGGGAAGACAATGAAATAATCCCATAGCTGCATACTGCCTGGCGGCCTGCACTGCAGTGCCAAGGGGATGGGAACTGGGAGTGCAGACTTCCCGTCCTGTATGGGGGGTTCTCTCTGGTATCCAGCCTCTCGAGACAGACACACACAGGGGGAGAGGGAGAGATCCTAGGTCTTATGATATTGGCCCAGCCCTGTCAGAAGAGAACTCCTCACAGGGCACAGCAGTCAGCTTCCACCGTGTCCGTCAGTCTGCACGCTGGTCGTGCGCACGCAGGACCGACCTGCTGCAGCCCTGCGGGAGTGTGTGGAGTCAGCTGGAGCGAGCTGTCATGTCGGCGGGAAGTGCGAGAGCCGAGGTGCTACAGGGTTCCGTAGGAGGCACATGATTCAGTTCTCACGTAGGTGCAGAGATGACCGCCAGCTTTCTGTTGGGCAAAACAGTTATTTTTAAACGGACGGCTGGGTGACGAGGCTATTTCTGTCGTATGTGCCGGGCGTGGGGCGGGAAGAGAGAGGCTTTGCAGCTGAAACCTATCGCCTGGGATGATCCAGAGATGATCCAGCTCGTCCGATCCTAAACCTGAAAGCTTTCTGTTCTGTGTGCTTTGTCCAGGAAATCTGCGTTTCCATCTAGGACTGCACAGCGACTTTCAGAATCTTCCCCGCTCTCGACGGGATAGAACTCTTGTTACCAGGAAATGTTTCTTTCAAGTGCTAACTGCAAAAACGCCTGCCTACACCTAGGAGACAAGACCTATAATAGGACAAGTTCTAGAGTAACTCGTTTTTCTGACAAAATTGAAGAAAGCTTAGTTTCTATTTAGCTTTCTTTACAACCTGTGTTCCAAAACTCACCGATACTGCACTGGCCTTGTGACAGTTTCACGAGTGAAGAACACGTGGTCTTGGAAAACCTTGTAACTGAACAAAGACTGTGACATGAAAATCAAAGGAAGTTCACCTGTAAAATCTGGGAGCACTAGAAAGACAGGAGATGCACTTAACACTTGAACACTTCATTCATTTAGTAGAGTCATTTCTAAGAAAAAAATTCATATAAAACGACTTTCTAAAAGAATCATATTTTACAGTTTCCCGTTATGTAATCAGATACGTTCTAATTATGTAGTAAAAAATCAATGTTAAAAATCCATTTCAAGTTTCACAATTAACAATATGATGAATTTTAATGCTTTGAAAAAAATCAAATTGCCCATAAATAAAATCTGACAGAAACGTGTCTTACAGAAATCTAGTATCCGCTAGCTGGCTTTTACCGCTGAATCATAGAACTGTGTCCAGCTTTAGTATTTTCCCAGTAATACCGACGCTAACTGAGTGGCTAATGCAAAGCCTACCATAAGCAGTGCGTGCACACGTAGCAGGGCTGAGAGATCTGTCACTGCACACCCGGTGTCTAGGCAATGCAGGGCTTAAAGGGGCTGCATCGGTGTGTCACAACCTAGATTTCCGATAGGTGGGATTTAGCGTTCACTAGGAGTCTGAAGCAGTGAAAAGGCCACCCGGCTAACGTTGGCATGAATGTTACGCACACACCCTGGCACACGTGTGAGTGATGTAGAGAGCCACGTGTTGTGTGTGTGTTACGTGTGGACACACAGATACCGTGTGAAGGTGTAGCTGTTCACACAGGAGAGTGCTGAAGCTTTCAGGAGAGGACGGGTTAACCTGGAAGCAGCTCCGGAACGCGTCAGGGCAGGCTGTTCCTGTTCCCTTGATGGGGCACAGATCTGTGGTGCATCTTTTTAATATTTTTCTTTGTTTTTGAAACAGGCTGTTTGGTATCAAGTCGGTGATTCAGACAGACTGCTCCAGCACGTGGAAGATCATAGCAAACCCAGAGCTGTCCTGGTACCACCACGCCAACCCCATCGTCCTGCTGGTCATGTACTACACGCTGGCCACTCTGATCCGCATCTGGCTGCAGGAGCCCCTTGTAAGGGTCCACAGGTTTTCATGGTCTGCTCCGCAGAGTAGCCCGGGAAGTCCAGTGTAGCCGCTGACCGAGTGGCACTCTGCTCCAGAGTAACTCTAGCGCTCTCGTCGGGGTGTTTTGCTTCTAGAAAGAGCACTAAGCAAATGCAGCTGCTCCAGAGCAAAGACTAGCTTCCCTGGAGTGTCACCAGGGCTGCCAAGAGCGGTAGGCGGTGAAGGGATGGAAGGCTCGTTTGCACTGAGCCCTTACTAAGTGCCAGGCCAGCTGCAAGGCTGTTTGCATACATTATCTCATTCAGTCCCCTCTGTGACTCTGAAGACCAGGCGTCGTACCCATTTTAAAGATGAGGAGAATGAGGTTAGAGGGTACATCACACACTTACTGAACAATAGAAATCGGGTTCAAACCCACGTTTGGCCACAGCCTGTTGTCCAGGTGACTGGGGTCTCCTCAGTCCTCTGACCTCAAAGTCCTGCCGACGTGATGGGTGTGGCAGCCCTGGGGGTCCCCCGCGAAGCCTGGGGATCAGGATGTGCCCTTCAGCCCGCCGAGTCCCTTTGGGCTGTCAATGGGGTGTGGCCCTTTTGGGGACAGGGCCAGGGCGGGTTGTGGCCCGCGTTTTTCCCTTTCAGTGATGGAAAACTCCGGTCCCTTTAACTTCCCCTCGATGACCGTGAGCAGCTCCGCCGCCAGGCGGTCTCTGGGCACAGTGGTGTAGACAGTCCGGAGCCGCCCACTGGTTGGAAGCCACGTCTCGCCAGCGAGGCCTCACTTCCAGCTTTGGGCCCTGACGTGGCGCCGGCCTCCCCTCTTCCGTCTGTACATCCAGCTCCATCCACGCCTTCAGTCAGTAGCGGGTATTTCTCAGACATGGACCTGGGGCTGGGGGTCAAGCAGCGGCCCAGAGATGAGGCCCCACTAGGGGAGCATCACATTTTGCAGGAGAAAAAGCAGCCCCCCAAGAACCCGGGGCCCAGGTCAGTGCAGTGAGACCCTGAGGTGCCCGTCCATCCGCCCCGGTGGACGTGCCCCCTGCAGGGGTGGGGCCACCTGCCTCCCTCCCGTGTGAGTCCCCCTCCACTGCACAGGTGAGCATCCTTGTTCACAGGGGCCTCCGTGTGGCTCTTACTGGACCCACCGAGGGCAGTGGCCTGGTGACAGAATTCCTTAAGGGGTCATGAGGAACCCCAGTCATCTTGTTACTTTTTCCTCCAATTCCGTCCTAAAGTCCGAGTGTGCAGGTAAAACCCTGCCAAGTGCAACTGTGTTCACCTCCTCCACAAACACCCAGGGCACAGATGTGTACATTCACACAAAACTGTGTGCGAAAGAAATTACAGTATTTTCCAAGCAATGTCTTAACCAGCAGTAGTGGTCACTTCAAGGCCTTCTTTCCCCTTCGGATTCCAGGTGCCCGTGGCGCCCTCCCTGCCGTGTCAGGCGGGGCCTGTGCACCGGCGCTGCTGGGCTGACGCTCAGGGGGAGGCTGTCGCAGCCCCTCAGGGCCCAGAGACTCGGCTCCGTTAACTGCAGGCCCCCCAGCTCACAAGCCACTGTGTCCTCAGTGGGTGTGGAGAACAGGGTGTCCTTCGCATCGGCATCCACACTCAGGGTGCCTGCATCTGAAGTGGGGCCGGGGCGCAGGGCCTCCTCACTGATGGAGAACAGCTGGCTGGTCGTATCGCGGTTCCAGATGGCCTGGCACGTTTTACAAAAGATACGACTCCCGCGGTAAAAGTCTACGATACACGTCTGGGAGAGACAGAGGGAGAGGCAGGTGTCTGGAGGTACCGTAATACGCGGGCTCCCCCAGGGGGCTGGCGCTCCCCGCGGGGCTCCGTGTGCACCCTGGTCCCAGGGATCAGGCCGAAGACTTGGTCCCCTCCCTCTGCCCTTTCAGTGGGGCCGTGCTTGTGGGACACCATCCTCAGTCACCAAGCGCGTCCCTGTCCCCTCTCGGTCTCGTCTCTCCGGGACCCGGGGTCTGATTCACACCGGCGTCTCACTGTGTGCGTTAGCTGTGGTCTTGCTCAACGATGCGTGGAAGCTCGCGGTGATTCTGCCTTTAATATGTTACTTCTTAGTGAACGACTGCCCGTGGCTGGGTTACCCAGCTCAGTATGACTTCAGTGAGGTGTTTGCATGATTCCTCTCTGCTGCAGTTCAGAGTCCAGGCGGGGATGCTTGGTGACCTCACAGGAGAGCCTCTTCCTGCGCTGCGTGGGGCTTCCCAGGGATTGGGGGCGCGCGGTGCCGACGTGCTCAGCATTCACAGAGCAGCATCTTGGTCATTTGTCATACTGTCTGGACAAAGCCCCGCCTGTTGTGTACAGTGCAGGACAATTGCCTGGGGACAGACGACAAGCCCTCTCTGGGTCTCCTGGGCCGCGGGGCGAGCTGTCCTCTGGGTTTTCTGTGTCTCAGGTGCAGGAGGAGGGGGACCAAGGGAGGAGGCCGGAGCGCTGGCCTGCAGCCCGGGCCCCGTGACGGCCGAGAGGAGGAGGAGCCTGTGGTACGCCGCCCGCTACCCCACCGACGAGAGAAAGGTAAGCCTCGGGGAGGGGGTTCCCATCTGTCTCGTGCTTGTGTGACGTTGCTCGTCCCCAGCCGCGCGGTACCCGGTGCGGGCTCAGACGGCCCCAAGTATAGGAGCAGTTTGGTGAAGGCTCGGGGCCAGAGGCCCAGTCAGGCAGGGGAAGGCGGGGGTTTGCGGGGAAACAGCACGGGGGCCGTCAGGCCCGGGACGGCACCTTTTTCTATTTCAGGGCTTTCCACTCAAGTCTCTTAACCCTAAAAAGAAAGAATGTGCTTAATTTTTTAAGAAGTAGTAATTTTGTATTAGAAACAAACCAAAAAGTGAGGGAGCGTTCCGCTGGCCCCAGCGGCAAAGGACTTGGGGCTGAGACACGTGACAGAGACCTATCCCTCTCTGTCGAGGCAGCCACTGCAGTGACCGGCCACACAGCCCGCAGGGGACAGCGGCCCGTCTGGGGGGACGCTCAGAGGCGCCTCTCCCAGCCTCGGGGCCACAGTGTGGCTGCAGTGGCCCGAGCACAGCCAGGGCATTTGTAACCTGGTCACCACCTGTTCGCTTATGACTTTGAACCCCCAGCCCCGCCCAGTGCAGCACCGGCTTGTTCAGAGGCCCCCGGGACGTGGTGACGGCGGGTGCTCTCCTAGTCTCAGCCGGTGTCGGCACCTTGCTTCCTCACACGTTCAGGGTTGGGGACTGGATGCTCTGACTTCCTCGCTCAGAGCAGAGTTTCTCTGGGACGCATGGTCTTATGTGGTGCTCGATCGTCCTGGGCTGAGAACAGGGGCGACAAGGAATGAACTGCCTTAGGGAGCTGATAGCCACGTGGAGCAGAGGTGCCGCCCTGCAGCATCTGGGCTCCCGGGCCTCCCTCTCATCCCGCCACCTGCCAGGCAGTCCCGCCCGCTTCCCTCTGCAGGGATGTCACACAGACGGCACAATAGCTTCCAGAGCGCTGTCTGTGGTCCCCTGGGGATTCCTGAGGGCCTTCCCGGGACCCGAAGCTCAGAACGGCCTGTGTGATGACACTGAGGGCCTTCGCCCTTTGCCGTGCTAACACTTGCTCTGCTGGTACAGAAGCACGAGACAAGGCCGTGGCAGGACCCCCCGGCCCTGGTGGAGCCCTTGACGAACCAGAAATGGGCACTGCTTGTCTTAGCTCAACCTTGGGGCACATGCCTTGTTAATGTTCCGAGTTAGAAAAGAGGAGGCCCCTCTAAAGTGCCGACCTCGTGAGAAGCACGTGGCCGATTGTGAGAGGACGAAAGAAGAAAAGGGGAAAAAAAGACCTGCAAAAATGAATCTAAAACAATTAACAGAATGGAGCATGAGGGGAACCAGCTGCCATCCACCAAGCACCAGGTCTACATGGAAGAACAGGTGACTGACAGTTTGGGGTCATTTGGGCGTGAGCGTTTGACAGACAGCTACCTGAAAATAGACGAAGGGATGCGTCCCTTCAAGGCAAGGACCTGATGGCATTCGCTGCCGGTGACAAATGAGGACTTTGAAAATGGGAACTTTAGAAGACCGGTGCTTTGTGCAATGACCCGTGTGGGTGTTTGCAAGCACTGCATAGTCCCGGGGCCCGTCCCCAGCACGTGCTGTTACCACGTGTTCCGGGTGCAGGAGCCGCCGGGGGACTTGCTGTGACCGAGTGTGGAAGCGCCCTGGGGTGCGTTGAGACTCCGCAGTGCAGCTCACCTCCAGGTCACTGCCCCTTGTTGAGCCTGGGTAAGATCCAGGAAGAGGGGCCGCGTTGTCTGCAGGGCTCCTGAAACACTCCTTCCTTCTCCACCTGCGTACCAGGTGGAAGGGGCCGGCTGCCTTCTTCTGAGCCAGAGGCTAACAGATCCGTGAAGATGTAAACCGCCGCCACACTTCTCAGCGTTTTTAAAAAATAGAGCTATTTGGATAAAATTACCTGTGTTAGCAAGTATTTTTTAAATTTTTCATGAATTCATAAAGGAATATTTTTATTGAAGTATAGCCAGTTTACAATGTTCTGTCAGTTTCTGGTGGACAGTGTCACGTCTCAGTCATACATACACATACATGGATTCGTTTTCATATTCTTTTCCACCATGAGTTACTATAAGATATTGAATATAGTGCCCTGTGCTGTACAGTATGAATTTGCTGTTCATCTGTTTTATATATAATAGTATCTGCAAATCCTGAACTCCCAATTTATCCCTCCCTACCCCATTCCCC